TCTCCCCTAGCTTACCAAACTTATGGGAGCTAAGTAATCTATTTTAGGAGAAAATGCTATGTTTACAATATATGTTGTTCTATTCCTAATATAAATTGCTAGATGCTACAAATTTTCTTCCTTTATTTTCTAGGCACATACCTAGCAAACATTCCCTACTTCCTTACTATCAAAGTTTAGCTATGTCAGTTAAGAGCACTTGTTGTTCTTCCAGAGGACCCAGGTTCGATTCCCAGCACACACATGGTGGCTAACAGCCGTCTGTAAGTCCAATTCCATGGGACCCAACACCCTCTTCTGACCTCTTTGGTAATTGCAAGTATGTGGTACATTTACATACGTTCAAGCAAAAAACACTCATACACATAAAAAAAAATAATAAATCAAATATTTTTAAGTGTAGCTATGTAATTGAGTTCTTGAAAACAAAATATAAGTAGTGGTGCTTGGAGCCATTTCTTAGAGCAGACCATAGAATTTTCCCATATTAGTCTTTATTAATTCTCTTTCCACTTTCTCAGTGTGAAACGAAAGCAGTCTGCAGACTTGAAAGAAAACTAAAAGATGGAAGACACTTGTGCCTGGAAAGATTCTGTAGAGGTCTCCTAGATAGGAACACAGTTATAGAAGTATGGCTTATTTAAGCCATTGAGGTTCTTTGGTTTATTTGTTCTAGCAGTTAGAATCTTATTAATTAATATACCAGTATTTAGTGAATGCTTACTACATGCTAGGCAAGCCACACCTCTTCAATCCTCATAAAACCCCATGATATATGTATTATTGTAAGCACAGAGTGCTTAAGTAATTTGCTCAATGCACACAGTTGTGTTAAGCTGGCCTTTGGTCTTAAACATTACACTGCACTACCGCTCAACATTTTTAGTTATGCATCCTGGCAGAAATTACTTCTTAGTTTATATTATAAAGAGAAAGGAGAACTCAGAATAGAAAGAAAATAGATGAAAACAGAAATGTGATTCTAAAATTCTCTTAACTAAAACCTTCACTAAAGCAAAGGCAATCTTTTCATTTTCTACTAGTTCTATAAAGTAAAAGATAGCAAAAAAATGTTAAATTGATAATGAAAACTATAATTTGTCTACAGTTCAATAACCAAAATGGGATTTGCAATCAAGGATATCTATTATAATATTTGTCATAGCATATATCTGGCAAAGCCCTTATTCCTTGCCAAGAGAAGATGCATGAAATTATATAGTCACTGAGCATCAAATCATTGAAGACTTTCTAATGATGTGAAGAAAATGCTCATGATGAATATGATGAACTACATTAAGACACCGATTTATTAATAAATGCAAACTACCCATTCGAAACTTGTTTGCTGGGTACCACTTTCATGCTGTATACAAGACTGGGATCTGGCCATCTGGTCCCTGCCTCCAAGAGTCTGGCTTTTCAGTGTAGGCATTCTCAACAGACTAGCAGAATCCTGTTCCCCCAGGGCTTGGTTTCTTTATCTACATAACAGGGGAGTTAGAGGAGACTATGGCTAAGGTCTGTACAACAGTTAAGTTCTGCAAGTTGGAAACAGACTCCTTTATTCAGTTGGACATAAGACATTATTGGTTGTATCTGCAATGTTGCAACTCCGCTAAATCTGTTATCACATGATATACCTGTTAATGTTAGTTTTACTTCTAGTGCCCAACCATCTTCATTTACTCAAGACTGGAGGTTTGCTCAGAAACTCTTAGATCAAATATCCAGGGAGTTTTGGGGCAAATTGAGATGTTCAGTCACCTTAGTTCCATGTCAAATATAGACTTAAATGCTGAAACTAATTTTAGTTATAAAAACCTCAATTAGTATCTTTTGGTACTAGAATAATTTCCAGACAGTTAAAAAAAAAAAAAAAAAAAAAAAAAAAAAAAAAAAAAAAACAAAAACAAAAACAGAAGAACAGGGATTATGTGGATGCAGTAAAAACCCACTCAGTTGCTCAAAATTTTTAGACAAACAACATACTTGGCATGAAAGTTAACTATGATCACAATAGGTGCATAATTATAAGTTTCATATAGAACAACCTTTAAAAGCTTACTGGTAGTTGTTTTAAAACTGGAATATTAGCTCAGAAATTGGAAGGAACAGCACTCTATTAATATTTCAATTAGAGGCATATTTTTCAAGCTCTAAAAATTGTGATTTTTAAATGGCATGTTCCAATTTTGTTCTCAAAATGCAGCAGTCTTTAAAGAATATTCAAATATGATCACCCTCTAAAAGTCCATTTCTCTTTTATTTCTCCTCATTTACCACACAGATCAGGATAATTAGGCTAATACCAACTACATTGTTCCTTCAAACTCAGGCAAAAGAATCCCAAGAGGATTGTGGGGGACTCCAGAGGGGTGTCTCTGTGACCCACCAGGTGTAAGACCCACTCCTTCCATCCACAGGAAAGCCTAGCTCTCTTGGGAATGCTCAGGCCCATTTCCAATTCCATTCTGCTTCAAAGACACCCAGGTTTGCCTCAGTGCCCTCCAAACATTATCAAGACAAAGTCTTTTTTTTTTTTTTTTAACCAACTAACAAATTCTGCCCCTCAAAACAGAATAGATTCACTAAAAATAATTCACAAATATATTTGAGGATTTAAGTGAGAAACAAATTCGACTTAGTTGTGCTGGTTCATTTCATGTTTCTATTTCACAGCATGACCAAGGGCATTTAAGCAACAGTGCATAAAATATTCACAAAACCCCTATGCAAAGTTCCTAAATGACAGTTTATAAAAATATGGAGCAATTAACCATCTACAGAATCCATCAAATCTCCAATAATGGGCCAAATTCCTACTTCATCATTACTGTGCCTCATTTGCCCTCTTGGGTCCTGCAGCAATCTTTCCCACCCCACAGCAGTGACCATTCTCCAAGTTCCATCCCCCATCCCTGACACTTGAGCATATGTCTTCCTAATGCTCCCTCTGTCTGGAGCCAAATAAATGCTGTGATTAAGGAGAAATAGGCAGAGTTTCCTTTCTCACTCTTGCTTTGGGGAAGAGGGAAATTAAATAAATGATACGCTGATTTAAAAAGAAATGAATTGAGCAGCAGGGACACAGAGCCCATTTCTCTTGCTTGATCTGCTTGTGTTTTAAGGTGTTCTGTCACAGGAGAAAGTTGTAAAACCACCATCCTACCTGTCTGACCTGATGCCTTGTTGTAATCTTCAAAACCTGGCTAAATAATGCCTACTTACTGTGTTTGCCAAATGTTTGCTGTCTACCAAGTACTGCCCTAAGCATCTCACTTGCTTGCTCTCACTTAACCAGCACAATCCTTTGGGATTGGAACTGTTATTAATCCCACTATAAAGCCAAGAAAACTAAGGCTTAAAAAGGGAAAGTGATTCTCCCCCAGGGACACACCTCCTAAATTGAAGTGCTGGGGTTTAAAGCAGAGCTGGCCTGGTTTCAAGCTCATACCTCCTTGCCTGACTCATATCCTCATGGTCTCTCCCCAAACCTGGGACTGCTGCAGATCTTGCCCTTTGGGAGTCACTCCTTATCATGAGTCCCTGCTTCAGCTGTCCTAGCCAAGACCCACGGCTGTGAAACTCCAAGTCTCTGACAGGGTATTATATTATCTCTCTCTCCTCCCAGGAAAACAGGCTGGAAAGCACAGGCTTCCTGTGTTCTCCTGAACGATCAGATTCAAGTTTTCTGTTTCCACCAGTGGTCTACCTTCCTTTAGACTCTATCCTGTATGCAGTCTCCATAAAAGGAAAGAGACAGAAGCAGGTTATGAAACAGGTAGTCTAATCTCTAGTCCCATTCTCTTTTTTTTTTTTTTTTTTTTGTCTATCTATCTCTAGTGTTCACTCATTACCTAGCCTGAAAACCTGAATTCTAACATTGTCTTTCCCTATAGTCTTCTAAGATACACTGTGTGACCTACCAGTTGCTAGAGAACAATTTCAGGATAACATGAACACATTTGACAAACATTTGTCAGACAGCTAATCATGACGAGAAAAACAAAACAACAAAACTAGAGTGATCAAGAATGATTGCTGTTACTGAATCCCTGTTAGATTCTGTAGTAACATATTCTAAACCGAGTTCCCCAGTTCTTAGCTCAGCTAACCCAAGGATATTCAGTCCAAGGATATTCGGTTGCATTCTCTTTCTCAAAGTTCTTCAGTGTTGATGGCTAATGATTCTGTGGCTTGAAGTTTATTCCCCCAATACCGAGATCAAGGACTTCTCTGGAGCTTTGCCTCGGGCTTCTACTTTGAAGTTGAAACTCAAGTTCAGGTGCAGTTTCCAAAACCTGAGTTCCAGCCCTGCCTACCATTCTGTTCTCGCTCTCAGATAGCCTCTACTGCAGACTGCATTTTCAATCCTCTGCTAATGGGAAGAACGGCAACTTTCACACCTAACCAAATAGAAAGCTCTAATTTCAAAGTTTCAGAAACGTTTTCAGAAAGTCTCCCTAAATCGGCTTTTTCATTCAATTAAGGGTCCAAATATTACTTCCCAGGGCAAGGGTGTGGACCAGTCCCACCGCCACACGGGTATGTACTCATAGACTTAAGAGATCACGATGTCTCTAAAGACAGATGAAGGGTCTGATACCATACTGAAACTTGGCTCTTTGTCGGACTGAATTTTGTCTACTTGTCGCCTGAACCTGAGTTCTACATTTCTCAGAAATGTGGTCCCATCGCTCCTGGTTGGCCTTCTTACATAGGCTTTTTTTCTTCTCCTTGCCTCCCTAACCCAAGCCGCAGCCTGTCGTCCCCAGACAAAAAGCAGCAACTCGCTGCTCCCTGCAGAGGCAGTGGCGGCGGGCAGGGGCTGTGAGTCCGCGCTGCGCCTTTGTTGGGCGGGCTACAGATGGTGCCCTGGCGTCCGGCTGCCCCGAGGCCGGCGTAGGGGGCGAGAGGCCGGGAGGGGGAGGCCGGGAACCCGGTCCAGGGAGGAGGGGGAGGAGACGGCCGAGCAGCCAATCGGCGCACAACCCATCAGCTGACTGCTTTTGCTTACACCAGGTGCACGCCGGCTGCGGGGAGCACAAAGCGGGGCGCACCGAGGGCGCTGGCAGCAAGCGGTGGAGCGAGGCGAGGCCCGTGCGCCCGGGGCTGCAGCGCCTGCCGGGTGGGGACAGGGGCCCGCAGCGTCAGCTGGGGCGGCGGCATCCTCGCGAGGGCATCCCTAGGCTCCTCAGGCGCCTTCCGTGGGACTCGATCGTTCACTGCCCCGCCCTCTGCACCCCAGTTCTCCTACCCTCCTTCCCAATCCTGCCTGTCTCTACCCCGGCTCTCAAGAGCTGGATTTAGCCCAGCACAGCCCCGCTCAGCAGCTGTTGCTCGGGTCCCTGCCTCGCCTTGCATCTTGGTGCTCTGCCGGGGGTCCCTCAAGGAGTCTGTGCGCGCTGCGGACTGGGAGGAGGCGCCGCTCCAACCGCTGCTGCTCCTCAGCCTCTAGCTGCTACTGCTGCTGCCGCGGGCGCCCGGTCGGTGCGCACCCCAACATCCTCGCCCGCCAGCCTGGCCTTAGGGTAAGTGTTCGGGCCAACTGGGCTGCGGTGGGAGGTGCGGGAGCCAGAGAGGGATAAATAGAGGCAAACTTGGCCGCGTGAAGGACCCTAGAGTATCTGAGAAACCACGGGATAAGATCGCGGGCCTAAGGGGGACAAGGGGGCGCGGCTCCTGGAGCCAAGAAAAATGACGAAGTCGGAAACTGAGAATCTAGTTATCACCCCATCCCTTTAAAAATAATAAAATAAAAGAGGGTGGGGGAGAGCAATAGTTGGTAAAGAAGACCAGAGAGAAATGGGCAAAAGGCAGTGACTGGAGCCGAGCCCGTTGGATTTTAGGGACCCATCGGGAGGACGGTGGGGTCTGGGGTGAGAAAGAGAAGAGATGGCATTGGGATGTGAACTGGGCTCTGAGAAGAGCGCCGAAGAGGATCCAGGGAGTTGGAAATGGGGTCAGAAGCAGGGAAGGGAAGGTGGTAGGTTGTGGAAAGGAAAGAGGTCCAGGCAATGGCCTAGTTGACAAGAGAAAAGGGCAAGAGGTGCTAATAATTAGCAAAGCTTTGAGAGTACTGAGTGAGAGCACTGGGGAGAACCTACTCCACTATCGGGTGGTCCAATACGGGGGAACTGTAGGCTATGGGCTCAGAAGGGGTAGCACCCCACGAAGGCTTGCCAGGGAGATAGGAATGTCAGGGAAGCCTTGGTCTCTTCCCGACATTGAGACCAGGGTCAGGAGCAGGGAAAGTTTGCCAGCGAGTGTCCTTTGTGCTTCGTAGACAGGGGTGTAGGCTGCCGCCACCGATTTGATGCTTCTAGATTCCCGCGGTGACCGCCGCCTGAGAGGGCAGCCCCTGGTTGCCTGGCTGCCTGGCTGGGGTTCACTCAGAAATGTCAAGCAACTGAGAAGCGGCTCCCGGATTGCAAAGTTCGTCCCGGGACAGTTGCGGGACAGCCTGCATGGGTGTGCTCGCTGGAAGATTCCATGATGGTACTTGTTCCTTGCCGGCTTTCATAATACTCTCAAAGTCAAGAACTGTGCAGTTCGAATTCTGTGAGGGAGGGAGAACTGTTGACTTGGGCATTTTCCTGTAGGGTCTTCTGAGACGATACATTGTTTTCTTTGCAATCCTCTTTACCGCAATAGTCTAGGCCATTAATATTCCGTGTGATCATTGCTTCATTTTTAAAGGCTGGAATTAGAGGAGGGGAAAGTTGGGGAAGATTTATACTTTGACCTGTATAAAGCTGGAGTAGAAGTGTTGTTACTGGCTCCAGGGCCATGTGTGTCATGAAGTCTCTGCTTTGCATGCAAATGTGAGCAGATCCTGGCAGATGTCTGGCCTCATCCATTCACATGAAGGAATTTGAAAAAACAAGGAGTCTTCCCTTAACAATAGACCTTAAGAACACAGAATAAAGGCGCAGTGTGAGTTTTTCTGTTTGGGAATTCCATGGCTTGCTGACACCTTTATTCAAGAGCCAAATTCTTAAGAGTGGTATTATTTCAAAAGCCCCAAATCCACTGGCTCTTTACCTGGCTGTATAATCTGCTAGCTAGATATCCTGAGCTAATTAAAGAAGTGACTCTGTGAAGGGATAGGAACTTTAATCCACCTCTGGTGGCTCAAAGTGATATCTCAAAGTAACTTCTCCACTCTTAGAGTTTCTTTTCTTTTTCTTTGAATAATTCTTCCTCTTGTCTCACATTCATGTCCCATCCCTAGAAGCGATAGTCACTGTCCATGCAAAATCATTTAGGTTCTTAAGGTGTCAAACTAGTAGAAGGGCAGGTGATAAAACAGTCCCATTCTAGAAAAGGGAGTGGATTGTGGGTCTCAGGACAGGACAGTGAACAGGAGGCAGTCCTTCAATGGACCCTGCAGAGCAAAGACCTTTCCGCCTTGTGTAATGTTAGCTGGTCAGCACACTCTTCACCTCCTGGCATTGTACAACTGCAAACAAAAGCTGGGCAGTATGGGCTACACATGAGGCTTGTGCTTATACCTCCTGACAAGCCAGCACCAGCAACTCTCCTTTTGTCAATCCTAAACACTGTCAAAGGGAAAAAGAACCCTATTCACCCAACAGGGTTTGCTCCTGTATTTTATACATTCAATGAAAGAGACAGTAAAATACAACAGAAAGACAACATTGTTTTGGAGGGTCCAGTGTTTGGGGGAGGGGTGGACAACAGATGTTAGTGTGCTGTTTCACATATTTTCAGAAGTTATTCGTCTAATTTTTGCTGGTTTAGTGTCTCTTCTACGGAAAGCAATCTACTCCCACAAAGGGAAAAAAATGAATTCAGTCCAATCTCAGTAAGAAATGTGAGAGCCAAGTTTGCATTTTCTTAGAGCTGTATAGAAGTAAGAAAGTAACATATCAGTGTAATAAACTCTTATGTGACTCTCAAACCTGGGTCTATCTTCCTGATGGAGTAGAGGGACCACTATAAAATAAAGACATTTCCAAACTAAGACTACATACCCTTTTGTTGTAAAATTATCACCTATGTAGTTTTGAAATAAATCTGAGATACCAAAGTATTGCATTTGTGAAACTTTGGCTGTTAGCCTTCCTGGGTGAGATCTTTATTATGGAAGACTAATAACAGGAAAAATTGGGCACTCATTCCTTGGTAACAGAAATATGGTACTTAATTATTAGAAAAGATTTACGCTGTTAAATAAAAGAATCTCATACTAGTTCTATAAAACAGCCACAGGAAGCTCTTGTTAGTATCTGAAATTCTGAAATAAAGAGACAAGAGAAAGCTAAATCGTTGGCCTCCATTTAGGTGGACTCTGTTCTCATTAACTCTTGACCTGAACTGCTTCCGCTACTGCCTGTCGGCCACACTTCAGGGACAACATCAGTTAAAAAAAAATCTACCTCTACAGTCATATTGCTACTCCCCTGCCCAACTGTTTCCAAATAATTATAATAACCCAAATTGTAGGCCATCTTAAATAAGCCATAATCCACAAATAAAATATGATAAATTATAGGACATAGATGCCATTTTTACTAAATGTTCACAATGCTTTCTTAAAATTTATTTTAATCTCCAAAATGGTTCTCTGAATGATTTATTTGAGCGCTAATATAAGGCTGCTGAAATATTGTATTTAATTTTTTAAATTGTTATCTGAATATCTATTTTTGGTTAAGTCAATCTGAAGATAAAGATATTTCCATTTTAGAATCATATTTTGGTTTCTGGGAATAATGGAAGTATCTTTTACTCATGAATAGAGTTCTGATTAATATTTTACTTAGAACGAAATTATAATTATATAGATGAAGTTAGAAAAACATGTATTCTTTGTTTTGGCTCAACAACAGAATGAAGACAAAGTTTAAACTCTGTAAAAATGCAATATTTTAGTGACCACAAAAGAAGTATTTGTTCTAAAAGTTTTAAATAGGTTTGCCTTTAAAATTCTCCTGTTTTAACTCAGCACCATTCACCTACTTTAGGGTTATATTTCAGTGCTGTCTCCATGTCTCAAAAAATAGATAAATACATAGTAAATGGCTTATTGACTTTGCATTATTTTATCAGCAATTTGCTTGGTAAGTAGGTTATTACCAATTAAACCCAAGTGATCCCCTCCTTAACCTGCCAACTTTGAGATTCTCCATTAGAACGTGGTGTGGTTGGTCCAACAGGGCTGGAAGGATTAACTACCATAATTAGTTAAACTGCTAAAATGGTTCTAGAAGCCTCGCCTCCAATATCACAACTGGCATAAACATTTAACTTAGATGGAAACATCACGCCCACTGCACTGAAAAATTGCCTGTAAGATGCAGAGAAAATAGGTGTAGGTTGTCAATGCACACCAAAGGTCCTGTCCACCCTGACATTGGAGCACCTGCTAAAGGCAGCAGTGCATTAGCCTAGGACACTTAGTTTTGAAAACTGTGGAGCACCTGCTTTTATAGTGGCTTATTGCCTTCCATTTACACTCTTTATAGCTCAAGGTTGCAATGTTATTTGAAAACTCTGATTACTATAAATGAGTTGTAATTTTCTGACCCAGGCTGTCTTAGCTAATGTCTATTATACCACAGACAGACATGGACTCCACAGCTGTTCCCCTCATTTGTGTATGAAGCAGACACTGGTGGCATTTTCTGGTTACCATAGTTACACTAACGATGTACATGTGGACATTATATCTTTCTGTGTGAAAGATTTTTATGGTAGATATTTTGTAGACCTGGGAATAAAATACAACTATTTAAAGTTTGGAGAACACATGAATAAGGATGCTATTTTCCTTTGGAGCCATCTTGTCAATCATAGAAGGACGGCCTTCCCACAGCCATGTCCAGGAAAGGGCAACTGAGGTCTTTTACCTAACAAGACTTTTTCCAAGAGCAGCATTGGTCCTCGGCAAGAGAATGACAATAAAATACTCATTTAAAAAATTTTTGGTTTTCCTATTTATGATGCCTTTTGTAAGACAGTCAGTATAGCAGCATAGTCATTTTCAGCTCATGAAGAGAAACATGGACAGCCCCAATATTAGTGTCTCTCAGACTTGAGGAAACAACAAAGTCAGTTTGCACTATGAGGCAGCAAGCACAATGTGAGCATCTTCATTTAGGACAATCAGAAGAGCATCACAAAGAAAGAAAGGTGGCTTAATTGGTTTCATGCCTATAATTTTCCCCTCTAGGAAAAAAAAAAAATTCAGCATGGCATTAAAGGATATCATTAACCTGCTTTGTTATTTCACAATAGTAACAAGTCTTCACTTGCATCCATAATAATCAGTGTAATCAAGCACAGTATAGATAGTCAGGAAAGCTCAGGCTGAGTTCCTAGTTTATGACACTGATGCCTGAATGTGTGATCTTCTGGATGTCCTGCAACCGTCCTGATGCTTCACATTTCCATCAGAGCTATGTTGTAAAGGATCCAGGAAAGCTGTATGTGCCTACAAGACTACCACCCTGAAGAATTCTATTTCTGCTCCAATGCTGTGATTATATGGAGTTAAAGATCTGGG